GGCTCCCCCAAATTAGTTGGTGGAAACGGCCAAGATCACCTGATGTCCCTCAAAAGTGAGAAGGACTTGGCCGACTCTATGGACTATATAAAAAATAGAACAATACGTATGGCCACGGAAGAAAAATAAGTTAGGTACCTAGTAGAGCTTCAATCTGAATGGAATTTGTTACTGCATTTACATATTTAAATATAACATTCCTACTAATCTATTTTTTTTTTAAATCGATATCGGCAAATTAATCATAAGTTAATTATACGTTTTATGTTTTTTATGCATTCTATAAAAGTTGATGAATTACCCACAAATAAATTACCTACCCCAAACTTTTTTTTGTGCTTTTTTAAAGTGAGTTGGGAGTTGGCTCATTATGACGTCACGGCCCCCCCCAATACCAAAGCCTTCGGAACGCCCCTGTAACAGTATTAAGTATGTAAAGTCCATTCCAAAATAATTCGTTGACTCTTCAAGTATCAATAAAATGTTGATGATACCCTCAACCACAAACTTCGACTACCTGTGAGCAGGTCCGGGTTGATTTTATTTATTATACCTGCCTAGGTGAGATGTACATGTAAATGTGGGTGAATGTTTTAGTTAAATTATTTAGTCTTTGTGCAGAACTAGAGCTGTTATATTGACAAAAAAAATGTGGCGTCCATGGGCAAATGATGGTAGTATTGGTTGAATTGTGTATTGTATTATATTGTATTAGATATTAAGTTTTGGTAATTATTAAGATAGTATAAGATTATAACATAAATAAATAATATTATGAAACGCCTTTTTCGTTTTCATTATAATGGGCACAAAATCCGTACCTGTAAACCTTTGAGTGGGTATTAAGGAACCCGGTACCTACATAAAAGAACCTGGTACCTACACAATAGAGGCTAATAGCTATCTAATTTATGGTAGGGTTTTATAGCCGTGAAGTCAACGAAATATTTTGGAATGGACTTTACCAATTATATTTCATGCAATTTAAGCTCTATGTTCCAACCCATAAAATACAGTGGCGACATCGACAGCTTGTAGTCGTTTCCTCATCTCCTCGGTTGGGGGATGCTAAATCCGTAAATAGGTGACGAGATAATGGAATAAAACTGAAATTCCCTATAAAATGTCTGAGCTTTGGAACGTTGTAACGGTTGCAAACTATTGAAAAATGCATTAGGAACCTATTTGTAGAGCAAATGGTGGTCTTTAATTCCGTATAAATTTTCTTCCCATACAATGCATAGGTAACGAAATAATCACAAAAGGTGGTTGCGACAACTTCCATAAGAGAGAGGGGTAGCTTCCGGGAGGATGTTGCAGTAAGTAGATATATTTTTGGAAAGCGTATTTAGTGCGCTACTGACCTATGTGAAACAAAAAGCCAAATTTTTTTATTTTTTATAATATTTGAACCATTCACTTGAAGGGCATTGCGTGCGAGAAAATGGAAAAAAAGGCTTTTTTTTTCAAATTTTATTTTTTTGGGGTGGTTCCAGGTAGAAAATAGGGGTGCATTATACGAATTTTTCAATATCATTCCTACATCAATAATCCCTGAACATTTGAAAAGCCTAGCATTAGCCTTTCAGATGTCATGAAAGGGGGTTGTTTAAATTTCAGCATCCTGTATATCTTAAACGGGTAACTGTTTTTAAATAAAACATATACCAAAAAATCGGCCAATTATTTATGAGTATTTGCTGTATAGTTTGTGGTGAATTCGTTATACTGTTCAGTTAAACAATAATTTCCAAAACATCTTTTTTCAAGGTCATTCAACTTTAGAGCCCTACCCGTTATAAACGGTAGTTGATAGACATATGCTGTCGCTGGATAGAGAATTTAGTCCTCTTCAATTTACTATCAAGGTATTTTTCTGTAAAACGTAGTGGAAGCGTTCCGTTTCGGAAAAACCACAAAAAAACGACCTTTAGGGGGATGGAAGGGGATGTTCCAGAGTGAAATTTTGTTGGAAAAAGGTAGACCCATAATAAGCAGCCCTTGTCCTACCAGAAAAAAAAATAAAACAGAACTTGTGTCGAGTTTGGAAAAAAAAATATACCTATAGTTTTAGATATTTATTTTTTGAGAAAGAAATCGCAGGGATATCAGCCAGGGTGTTCCTAAATATCATATTTCCAGTGATGCCAGGTCTGGTGAAACTTCACCAGATCTGGTGATTTTATAAATAATTAACAATTTTCGAGGAACAAAAAATGGTAAACGCTTGACAGTGAACGTCTCTAACTTTAAAGTAATTCGAAACCATACGACCGTACAATCCAAGAATAATACACACCTACAGGATTGCTTATTGGCCTCGTTTTTGGTAATCGCCGCCATATTGGTGTGTCACCACTTCCGACGTCATGACTAAGTCGTCACTCGTCAGCTGTTTAAACAGCCTACATCAAGGCGTTAAATAATATGCTGCCTACTTCACAACTGGGTGACTTGCATACAATCAAGGAAAAGTTATTCAATTTATACCTTACGTTGGGTGCCAGTAAAATGATATTTTCTAAATTTGCCACCGTATCAAGAAATTTATACTTAGTGAATTGTGTTTTATTAAATACTTCAATTACTATTAAGTTGTATTAAAAATGCATTTTTTTCGTTGACAACTCGTAATATGGCCTGAAAAATCAACTTTTAAGATTTCTGGTGATTTTTTTTTTAAATCGCTTCGTTACCGATCTACAGGATGTTAAAGTTTTAATGTACTCATATTGAAAATGAGCAAGAATATGGCAGCGAGGGCGTGGCTTACTTCTAGATTCCTATTGAAACTAACAAGTATATGGCGGGGGGACTTTTATTGTCGCCACTGTAGGTAGAAAAGGTTTATTGAATCACTGTAGTTTCATCCAGCTAATTACAGAGATTTGTTTTTTTTGTTTTTCTCGATAAGGGTTGGTGATTCGGAAAAAACACAGGAGTACAAAAAGTTTATAAAGAAGGTAGAAAAATAAATTTGTTTTTTAGAATCTACCAGTAGCGTACCGCAAAAAAGTTCAGGGGCAGAAAAGAGGGCATGACCTTTGAAAAAATATCATCCTGTAGATTCTAACAAACGTTTGACATGTGCGATCATTCAGCTCGTATTGCGTAACCTATATTCCAATTTGAGCTAAATGCCTCGAAAATTCCAGGAGCTATAAAGAAAAAACTAAAAAAATATTGAAATTTCAACACCCTGTAGATCGGTAATGAAGCGTTTGCGGACCTATGTTTATTAGAAATTTTAATCATAAAATAAACCATAGAATCACCCCCTTCCTTTTGTATATACATGATATTTAGGAACACTCTGTATAATATAAAGATGGGGTTTTAGATTTATTTATATACGTATGTACAGGGTGTTTCCTTTTATTTTGACCCCTTACCTACAGCTTTAGCTATACGACGTGGAGAAAAACTTTAAATATGAAAGTTGTAAGGTTTTATGTCTATTATCTTCTGCGAGTGTCAAAATTGGCAAATGACAGGTGTCAATTGTCACAATGACAAACACTTGCATTTTTCAAATGGAATACCCTGTATATTTTTGGCTAGAATTATAGATTTTTTTCTTTCGATTCCAAATATAACATATATATTGATATTTAGTTCAGTTGTTTTTGCACTATTTAATTTTAAAATTGCATTGACCAAGCCTCATCATTGATATAAAAAACCAGGATAGATTAAATTAAGGGTAACATAATAGTTATTTATGTATCAAAGGTACTAAGTAGATGATTATGCCCTGATGGCGACAGTCTTACAAAGCCGAGGGCTTCTGGCCCGAGGGTTCGTAAGTCGCCCGAGGGTATATATATCTATTAGTACCCGTGGTGCATACAAACTTTTATGTCATACCAGTTGGTTGTGAATAATAAATACCTGGGAAAAAAGTATCACTTCGCAAATTGTCATCAGTGTGCAAACATCATCATTTTTTGACAAAAATAATATATTTATAAGCGTAAATTTATATTTTGTTAATAAGAAATAAGTTTGAAAACTGTTTTTTGCGTCTTTATGCCCGCGCGGGCCATAATGTGTACTTTATGCCCGCACGGGCATAAAGTAATGAATTATGTAGATGGTATCTAAGGTATAAAAACACAATAATGTATTGGTATGACATAAATGCATTTTTAAACTTGAATAGCATAAAAACAGCTGAACCAAATATCAACATATATGGTATATTTGGAATTAGAAGAAAAAAATCTATCATTCTAGCCAGAAATATACAGGGTATTCCATTTGAAAAATGCAAGTGTTTGTCATTGCGACAGTTGGCACCTGTCATTTGCCCATTTTGACATTCGCAAAAGATAATAGACATAGAACCCTACAACTTTCATATTTAAAGTTTTTTTCCACCTCGTATAGTGAAAGCTGTAGGTAGGGGTCAAAATATAAGGAAACACCCTGTACATAGTTGTTAACTCGGTTGTTGATGTTACATTATTACATAAAATGCTGAAGTATATTGGATTTATACTAAGCAATAGGAAAAACCGTGGCATCCATGCTAAGAGTCCTTTATAGTCAATGAGAGGGCGTTACTTAGTCACGTGATTTTTTGTTTGAACTTTTTATCCAATAATTTATTTAATAATTTGACCAAAATCTTGCAAAATATTGTTCATTCTCGCTTACATTCATGTATTTGTGTCGAAAAGTATCATATTTGCCATATTCCCGGTACGTGAAGTTCTATATTTTTAAAAATTTGCGATAAAACGAAAATGAGCTCAATTCGAGTTATTTTTCCGCCGGTAAAATAAGTAATGAAACGATTGATGGCTAGTCAAATATCGCGCGACTGCTGTAACATTTTTCACATCGAAATGGATTCATTCAAAGATAAAACAAATTGTTCCAGTTCAGGGAAGTCTGTACTGTAACGATAATATAATTTGAAACAATTTTATTTTATTACAATCTGTTTTGATTGACATTGTTTCGTTAAGTACTTTGTTTACAATACAAATAAATACCTTCATCAATGTAGACAAATTCAACCCAAACATCCCAGCAGCCTTTATTCCAATGGGTCTTTTGGCTCTTTCCATTATAATCATCAACATTTTCTGTTCCTTCACGCCCATTTCTTCCCACTTAACTGCATAACATGCGTTGGTAACACTGTCACTCTAAAATATTGTAAGAAATGAGTAACCCAAAATCTCAACTTCAAACTTACTTCTTCTATTAACTGATGTCCATACCAGCAATACAGAACCAGCTGGCACATCATGCAAGAAAAATATATCGCCATTAGGGCAAATTGTGTGTGAGAAACCTAAAAAATGTCTAAATTTTTGCAATTGTTTTCAATAGCTAAGAAAATATTACCACCAGAGTAAGTTGAAACCCTGTAAGACAAAATACAATAGCACTGCACAAAAACTGTACAAATATGCCATAGGAAAACGTTTTTTCTATCATGGAAACATAACTGAAATATGAAGATTTTATTTTTCTATTAGGTACAACAAATTTTTATAATGACTCACTTAATAACTTCTTCATAATAAATAGCACAATTTTTAATCTTAACTTCCACTTCATCCTCAATATTGTCTAACAGACCTTTGATTTTTTCACATAATATCGTGAAAAACGTCGTTGCGATTACAGTGTGTTTTGTAAATAGGCAATCTAACGCTAAAATGTTTTTTATTAAAATTAAACTACACAGTTCAATAATTAAATTCTCACCTGCATTACTCCATGCACTTATTGCAAGAGCTAATATTTCAACTCCATAAATTAATGGGTAATATTTATCTGGGTTAAAAGGGAATTTTCCTGGAAACAGATAGTTTTTTTTTTCACTACCTTTGTTATCTACCACAGGAAATATTCCATATAAAACAAGACACAATACACACAAAATAAGAAATATATTAATCACTTTTTGGGCTCTATCGAATGCCTTTTTCAGAATATGCAATTCCTTTTCATTAAGTTTGGTAAATATATCCTTGGAAAGCAATTCTTCTAATTTATAAGCAGTTTCCCAATTCAAATGAAAATTGACCAATTTATTTATAAATCCAAACTGGGTCATTAGTAGTGCAAATACTTCGGATATTTTTGTCAGGTCTGTAGAAGAGAAAACGAAGTTCATTACCACAGTCGCTTGTCCAAAGGTTATAGAGTAAATGAAAAGGGTGACTAGGTTTACCAGGAAAGTCCGTTTTATATGACTCGGGTAGAAACCAGCTATTCCTAAACGGAATTGTTCGCCTTGGATAAAACCAATTATGTTGTAGAGCTGAAAAAGAAATAGGAATGATTAGTAAATTTAAAATGTCAGAATTTGCAAATCATTAATTTTATGTTATTGTGTGTTTATTTCGGTTTTTTTTTTTGTGATAACTTGTTTTGTCTCATTATAGTCTAGGAGGCAGTGACGATTTTCGGTACTTATTTTCCCAGTCAGACAACATGGATAGAATAGACCTATCTATTTTATCAGACAAAGACGTAATAATACGAAAACTTCATTAGATAAAAAAAGACACAGAACGCTCATTGCGCAAGACGAGGCAAACGTACCAAATTATGTCAGACTTACGTATAGCAATCCGTTCTTCTTATTTGCACAGGATAAAAAAGGAAGGAGTAAAACCGCATGTTGTGCAACGTATTTGTCAAAAACAAGTTTTGAACGTCACTTGGCAAGCTATGTCAAGTTGAATATCAATCGTACTTTTATTCTTCTCAAACCACGGGCAATAAACAAGGACAAGGAGATGCCCAGCGTGCAAAACGAACACCTCTCACCTGTACTAGTTAGCCAATAGAAAGGCCTTGCCTCGTGTTGCGCGCGCATACCAGGTAAAAATAGATAGATCTATTGTAGGGATAGTAATTCTAAGCAAAGGACATATATTTTTAGTGGGGGTTTTCCGATGGGTTGAGGCGCAAAATGCGTTAAAGCTTACGAATGCAAGGCCCTTTTTTTTCTCAGTGATAAAAATAGGTCTGTTAATGAGAAGTATACTGAAGTTACGTAAAAAAATAGTCCGGCTAATCTGTGAGTATGGATAATATGTCTGGCAAGTGAAAAATTGAAGATCCGAAAATTTTCAGCCAGACTCACTTCCACCATCTGAGATAAGCCAAATTGATATTTTCATATACTTTATGTTCCATTGTAGTAAATGTGAAATATTTATGTCTGGGAAAATAAGCGAACTTGTATTTTTCATTGATCTTGTAAACCCATCCGAAGATTTTAGCCAGACTCAAAAAGTCTTGCTTTGTATCACCAGGAGAACAAACTATTTAATAGACACTAACTGGGAAAATAAGTGCTAAAAAATTTCACTGCCTTCTGGACTATTATTGCCTATTTTTTTCTCCATACCTACTGGTAAAGTAGCCTTTAATCTACTAAAAATAGTAGATAAAGTAGTACTTTAATCGTAAGGGTACATTAAATAATACTTTAACAGCATTGAATAGGCTTTATAATTGGATAAATAGCAGACAGCACGCAACTAAAAAATGAAGTTTGGCCCATGTGTGGCCGCCACGCCATCTTGAATATCACATGGTTTGGATTGCCTAATAGCTATTTTTCAGTATAGGGGAAAATCGAAAATCGCCCTGTGTCAATGGTACCATTGAAGATATCGCGATACGGTTTTTGACAATGGACGTGTCTCGGAAATCGATCCCATAACATATAAATCAATTTTTTTCTCTCTGGTCTGGAAGTACGTTTTTCCTGTTTAAACACTTCAAATTGTAGCACCCTGTACACTAGAGTTCGTAAAATCACGGTCGACAAAAATTCATAAGGGGAGGTTGCAAACTAAGCCTGAGAACAGCCTCGCTTCTCCGAAAGAAAAAAAAAAAAGACCTCACCTTACCATTGAAGAAAAATACGATGATTTTGATTTTGGGGTCATACGCAGAACCATTGAATGGTTTTATTTAGAAGAGAAGGTCGTCCCAACAACGAGGAAATTATTGACAAAGTTGCAACAAGAGAATAATTTTTTATATTCTCGTGAAACTTTGATAGTTCTACTGAAAGCAAATGGATTTTATTGGAAAAAATGTCGCAATAAGCGGAAAATTGTTATGGAGAAACCCCATATTTTACATCGCGTTACAAATAAATATTCAAGAGCCATCGGAAAGTACCGCCAAGAAGAACGTAATATCGTCTATATTGACGAAAGGTGGGTCGATAATGATTTAAAATTCAAAAAATGTTGGCAAAGCGATACAGTTTTGGGGTGATTAATAACGTTGGCTCAACTAAACGCCTTATTGTAGTTCATGCTAGCTCTGAAAACAGGTTCGTCAAAAATGCTAGTTTATTCTTTAAAGCAGGCCTAAATACTGGAGACTATCATGGCCAGATAAACAAAGACAAAATGGGTCGTATGAATAAAAATGAAGTACTTGCTACTACCGTTGATTGAGGAAGTAGGGGAAGATGCCTAACCTCTATAGAAATAATCATGGCTTGCGACAAAAATTATTCCCATCGTTCTCAAATGAATGCAGATCTCCCGTCTTTTTTCGGCGACGGTTGATGTCGGAAAACACATCATTGATTGGTGCTGCCACCAACAAATGTATGGCATTTTGTGTAAACAATGACCGAAGGACGAATGAGGGGGCATGAGAGGGATTGAGGGGTCTCAAAATATTTAAACAGCAATGTAGAATCGTGTTCTTGTTGTTGAACAGCGTTGCCGGGTCTCAAGGAATTTCTCATCTTTCTGGGGAAAGTTAATCGATTTCATTATTGTGTGTATTTATTAGGTACCTACACACAAATATAGTCCAACAAATACCATTTTAAAGTCACGTGATTTTTCTCTATCCTTGTTGAATACACCTCAAACAGCGGTGATAGTAAAATTGACAAAAAAATTGCTGTCTAATTATTGTTCATAATATTCTTACCTGAAATAGAATCCGTCACTGTCATCAATTAGTTTGTCAAAGTTATTTTCGAAAATAATACAACAAACAAACACAGCTAATAATTTTGACCATATTAACCTTTTTCCAACTCGAAAAAAAGCAAATAGAAAACGGGTACCCAGTTTAAGTTCAGAATGTATTACAACAGACAGCGGATGTGACAAAAATGAGTCTTAACCACCAGTAGCTTTTTGTAGGTGATATCAACGACATAATCAATGGACATACGTTTTTTGCCACCAGTATCACGCGACTTTAAAATGGTATTTGTCGGACTTCTACAATTTAACTTTTGTTTTGAATTTTGGTATAGTACCTATATAGTTTTGGCAAATTGAAAAAGAAGTTAAGACAATTAAATTCAAGAATTATCAATAGTAATAATATAACCAGTGCAATAGAAATTATCGATAATTTTTGGGAAATTGGCCCGAATGCATTTTAGTGCACGAGTGCCTTTTTCAGTTAAAAACGCATGAGTGCAAATTTGTCAAAAATTATAAATACAAATACATCAGGGTTGCGTTTAGAAATAGCACTTTGGGTGTGAGAGTGACCCTAGAGTAACTCTAAACCGTTTATAAATTAACAGGTGCTTACTCGGAGCGTTACGCTGGAATCGTTCGGAAATCGACAGTTTACGTGCCCAGGGTCGTATTTTCGAAACCATGCGAATTCTTTCGCATGCGATTTAATTCGAATGAAAAATGTCGTGTACGAACTAAAATGCGTATTTTTGAAGACCCTTCGAAAATTTTATCGTATACGAGTATTATTTGCGTTGACAACGTCGCAAATTCGAGTATTTGATAATGGCCATTTCGACAGATACAAAATCGAAGAAGATTTTTTTGACATCTGACTTTTTAAATGCTGGTATATATCTTGCTGAAATAAATTTCGTGCACCTAATCGTTGGGATTTCCTATTTAGAACATCCTTGCTTTTATAACGTTAATGAACAATCATGGTTTTTGGATGGGGCTCTAAAAGCTCTATCAACTCCAAGGTGAGTAGCTTCGTCAGGCGATATAATTTTCGGAACTAGGTACCTACCTTCACCAATATTCTTCCAGCGGATCAAGAAAGGGATGTAACACCCTATCCCTACGATCTGCCAGTATTTTTGCCCCTTCGAGGGCATCAATAACATTTCTTTTGATTAAATAATCCAAGCTAGCCATTCCAAAAACTGTCTTTTAATAAAGCAGGACAATTTAATTCACAAATTATTTGGAAACGAATGAAAAGTCAAAAGGAGAAGGAACAACGAACACAATTTTCAGTTTGCACAACGTATTTAGGTACATAAACAACAAATGTAACGTATATAAACAAAATAAGCACTTCAAAATTGCAAACAGTGCGCAGAATGAACTAAAATCGCATGCGAAATGTGAAATTCGACTGGTGGAGACCCACTCGAGTAAACGTACACGAACCAAATCGCGTACGGACCGTTCGAAAGCGATTCGAAAATACGGAAATTCAATTTTCATGCGAATTTCGCCTTATTTCGTATACGAACGGCATTCGAATGGTTTCGAAAATACGACCCCACAGAGTGTGCCCAAATTAGCCCACTCAGGGACTGGGTTGAAAAACGCCCCGAGGTTTTTACCGGGTTTGACGTTGACATTTAGTGCAACACTCCAATTACGTTCAGAAAAGGCGCACCCAGAGTGCACTCTAAGTGATGACGTCAGATCACTCTGACAAAGTGAGCATTTTGTTATGATAGATAGAGTACCAATAGGACAATCACTCTTTGCATAGGTACCATCGTCACCAAAAGTAACTGGGACAGCAACATATTAGCTCTTGTACTATTATATGCCTTTTACTGTCAAATATTTGTCAAACTATTATTAAATTGAATGATGAATGATGGTGGAAATAGTCCAGGAGATTATTATGAATAATTTTTGTTCCAGATACTTTTGGTGATGATGGTACATGTGTCCTCAAACGTCTCGTTAAGAAAATACAGGGTGTTGAGATTTTCGGAAAATTTAGACTTGTTGCCTTTAGATTCAAAATGCCTTTAGCGATTTTGTTCAAATTTTCAGAGAGTGTTTGCGATTTTTTCAAGCGTCTTTCTAAAAAATACGTTTGAGTTCCACTTTTCCAGGACCGGACCTAGAGCGACTCTTATTTTTTCAACAGAGTGGTGTATTTTCCGAACAATACATTGATTTTTATTTTTTATCTCGTGACGTTTAACATAGAACAAGAAAAACTAGGGATACCTTTTTTGTGGAAAATTAGGCAATGAATCAAAAAATAATTTTTAATTTGTCAAAAACCCTAGGAGCCTACCAATTTTTTTTTCAATAAA